ATTTCACTACAGAAACATTTTTCGTATTATCTCCTGAGTATAACTGGTATTTTATTTAAAATGTTTTATTTTGGTGGAGTTTAGAATAACATTTCTTTTTCCCTGAATGGTTGATTACCTGATACAAACCAGGGCACCTCTTTATTTTCAAAGCTTGGTATAAAATGGGTATGACTCAGTTACTGCTCAGAGGCTGGGCAGAATGATGATTTTATGCCTTTAAGCAGAAGCATAATTCCACGCAGAATGAAGGTTTGCCCCCTTTAATGGCCAGAATTTTTTTTCTCCCTCATTACCTGCAGTAGCTCTCCAAACAAAGGTAGTAATGTGAAACCATCTCTCAGTGCCAATACAAACAGGCAGAAAATAGTGTTCATTCTCTGTGCAAGAGTACGGTTTAAAAAGCAAACTCACTCATTTTAAAGTCTATATTAAAAGTTACAAAACACAAAAAAATTTAAAAACCCAAGTATCTCTATATATACAGAGGTTTTAGGATCTGCATTTAAAGTATCAAAATAGCTGGATTTTCTTCCTTTTTCTGTTGCCTTTATAATTATACTCTTCAAAGTTGTTTAAGTTTGTGATGATTGYATTTCTGTTCCTATGTTGCTCCTCCAGGACTTCTTTGGAGGTCCCACCCTCAAAATTGCTTCTACTCATGGCTGGGAGAGGCAAATAGTCATTATTTGGTATTCCTGATTTTCTTTCCCTTTCCTTTTATTCCACCTTCTATCTGCCTTCACATTGTTCTTGGCTGACAGATGAGCCTGGGTACTCTCAAGTATGCCATGCATAATGTAGCATAATTTTCAGCTTAAAACAGGTATACACTGTAGTTTAAATATCTGAACTCTAGTGATGTGGAGAGGCTGAAAAGAAAATGCAAAGAGAACAATGCAGATTTTCTTTACAGCCCCGAGGAGCTCTTGGACCACCTTGCTAAAAACATGTTTGTTCAGTTCAATATGGGGTCAAACTTAACCCAAATCATTTGGTCCTTGCCCCCATAAAACTTCAGGGCTGTAGTTGATTAGCTGATGACTTTGATTCCTGGCTCAAATGAAAGATAAACAAGTAAGAGATGTAGCCTGGTTTTCTTAGAAGCCAGGTAGCAGAAGCAGTGCTGTATTCTGCTGCAACATCAGGAAAACAGGAAAAGTCAATCTTCACAAATGCCTTTCCAAAGCTGCACTGATTTCCAAATAAACTGTAAATGGCATTCAAATATACTGCCCAATCCCTCACTTCCCTTTCTTTCATTTCCCAAGGGATAAATTATAGGTAGTAATAGAACACTAGACTCATTTGGGGTGTGGATACCCTAGGTTTTCAAGTTACAATCAAAAGTAAGATGGAGGAACAAGAGAGCCCCTTGGTGGCTCAATGTCACAGGCGAGGTGAAATAGGAACAACAAAACTCACTTTGTTGGCTCATGATGTGTGGACTCTCGTTATGGGAAGAGAGTGAGAGCTCAATGCCTCATTCCTCAAGTAACACTATAAGAAAAGTAGAACAGCAGCTAAGGTCCTGTTCCCATGTGATGGGCACTCTGAGGAAAAGTAAAGAGGCAAATTGCATAGGCTAGGGAAAGAAAATCAAACTATAATTATTGTAAGAAAGAGTGACTAAGAATAATTCACAAAGCAGATTCCTGGCAGTAGATAATGCAAAAAATTCTCGGGTTTGCTACCAATCTTGTAGGGTTCAAAACAGGAAGATGTTTATGGAAAGGTACATGTGATTATTCCTAAACTGAAGTGAAACATATTTTCAATGTGTTTGGTGAGTTATTCACTTAGTGAAATGTTGGTCACCTATAGGTCCTTTGAATAATCCCTCATGTTTTGTTAATGTGAATCACTAAACTCCATTGTGAAGGTGTCCATCAGAAACCACAGAGACTTTTATTGGGATTCCTTCAAGTAGCTGGGATTCCTTCAAGTAGGGTAAAGTATGTGTATTTGAGAGGTAATTAAGGTAGAAGACTCTATAGTTCCAATATTATTTTTTAAATGGGATTATAAACCATTCTGCTCTAAACAGTTACATTTGGAGAGACTGTTTTAAAAAGTAATGCTGGAATGAAGTTCGAAAAGGCAGTTGAGTACCAAATTCTATACTCCTTTGTAATCTATACTACAAAGATGAATACTGCTGACCGTCTTCATCTGTGTGTTCTGCATCCATGGATTCAACCAAGAATTAATAATATTCAGAAAAAAATGCAGCTGTGTTGAGTGTGTATGGACTCTTCCTTGTCATTAGTTTTCTAAATGATACAGTAACAACTGCTTACACAGTTTTTGGAATTATGGATTGCCTGTAATCTGCAGATAATTTAAAGAATATGGGAGGATTTGTTTAGGTTATAAGCAAAAATTTAACAATCTTATGTAAGAGACTAGAGCATCTACAGGTTGTGATATTCTCCTGGGGTCCTGGAACCAACAGCCCATGGATACTGAGGGATGACTGCACATCCCAGAGCTTGCTCAGACATGGTAGGGTTTGAATCCTAACCTCTTTGAGTCACTAGCTATGAGTCCTTGGACAGATTATTTACATTCTTTGGATGCCTTCTAATCATTTGTACATAGGGATATAAACTCTTCCTTTTTGTTTGGTTGTTTTGGTGAGAATTAAATGGAAAATGTGTAAATCCTGTGATATAAGAAATGCATAGTAGTAACATATTTTCCAATTATGATAATAATATTTAGGACCTTGTACTGGGTATTATTGAAAAGTGAATAAAATATATGTAACAGAATTACCACAAAGGCATGCACCTGTGTAGTCACTATCAAGACAGAGTATCACCAGTGCATCAGGAGCCCCTGCCAATCCCCACCTAGATGACCCTGTCTTCTCCCCATAAGTAGCCACTCTCTGACCTTAATGCAGTGTGGCTCTGCCTGTTCTTGAACTGTATGTGTGGGAAATCACACAACATGCGTGGAGTCTTAACCTATGCATTCTGTTTGTGATATTCCCCATGTCTTGCACCCAGTGATAATTTGTGATTGTTCACCATACAAATGTCCCATGATTCGCTATCCCATCTGTTACCAGTGGATACTTAGGCTGGAGACTCATAATGCTGTAATATCCTTTATGTCCGCTTGCCTTCTTTTTAAGTGAACTTTTCTTAAGTCATTAGCCTAGGGCATGGAAGATATTATACATCATTAAAACCTCTAAAGGCACAGACTGCTTTTTAAAAGCTTTTGCAGAAAACATTCTATCAGGAGCAGAATACTTAGATTGTACCGCTCTGTGTAAAATCTTTAAGTAGAAGGTGGGAGATACTTTAAAAAGATAATCAGAGGAGTGTTTAGAAGTCCCTTAGACTCTTATGAAAAATCAACAGTGTTGAAAATACTGGTGAAAATTTCTGACAGAATTTTTGAGAAATGGCAGGCCATATGGGAACTATACACACATCACATATGCTTATATCCAGCAGTTGCACCTCTTCCTTTTCCCTATCTCAATCAACTTGGAAGCTTTTAGTAAAAAAATGAGGTCTAATACAGAGAACACAAACTCAGTTCTAAGACTTTATTGCTGGACGAACAGCCTACTACTTTTAAACTAATAAATGTTCAACTAAAATTCTTTTAAATTTCAGCACCTAATCAGGTAAAGTCTGTGAAATTGATTTTCAGAATTGTCTCTTCAGTGTGTTTACATTTTTTAATATTTATATATACTTTCATTTACTAGTTTTCATTCATTACTATCCTCTTTAAGCCTCACGTTCATCATCTACAAAACAGACATAAGACAAGCTATTCATCTTTTCTCAAGAGATCACAATGAAGAGCAAATGAGATGACACATTTGGTAAACTTTGTAAACATTAGGACACTGCAGAGATATTATATTTGAACACTAGGCCAGATATTGCTCAGAGTGCTTTTTCTTAAAACTTGTTAGTCTTCAAAACAAATACATGAAGTTGGTTTAGATATTATAACAATGTCAAAACAGTTGCATGTTAGGATGATAATTTTTCACTGGTTATTGATTAAAGAAGCCAAATTTTTAATAGAAACCTGACTCTAAATCACTTTCTTTTATCATCCCCTGTGCAGTCAGTGTGGCCCTTCTGCACCGAGGAAGAAGTGGGAGCTGGGACTGGACATCAGATCCCCGGCTTCATTGCAACTCCACCATCATCTGATGAGGTGAAATTTTCTCATATGCCCCAAACATAGTCTTCATTTATAAAATAAGGGTAAAAGAATAAAGTATATTCTGAAATTTAAAAAGCTTTTTAATTTTCCTCGACTTGTAATTAAATAGGAAGAAGGACATCGTGAAGTTGAAAACATTATTAAAATAATATTAATTTCAAATTTAAATAAMTCAAACTAGATACTAATGAAATGTATCCAGGGGACTTTCTGACTTACTTTATAGAACTAATATATGACACATTGAGTGTGGTAACTAGTAATGTCATTCTTATGAAAACATTCAAAAGTGCATCTTTATAAAGAACATGTTTTCCTAAATAGGTTAAGTATTCAGTCATCTCTAAAYGTCTCTATTTATAATATTCTATCAATCTTATTTAGCAGTCTGTACATAGTTTTATATACATATAGATGTATAATCACATGTGTATATCCAGGTATATGTGTTTATATTTTTTAAATTTTTATTTATACTTCAATTTATCTGAAGCTAAATGATCTATGAAACAGGGATGTCTGGCTTGACAAAGTTTTTCTTGTTCTTTTCTTAGAAGGAAGGAAGAACATTACATATATAATAGAGCTCAGGGACACTAGTTTAAATAAATAATTCACCTCAAAACACAATTTTTGGCAATACCACACAGCCTCTTCGAAATTATGTTTCTAGATTTTTTTTACACTGTAAAAATGTAGATCTAWTAAATAACTTGCTATACTTCATTTAATAATTCAAATGATTATTGTTTTCTTTCAGATTCCTCTTAATAAAACAAATATCAATGAAAGCTACAATGTTGACCTTAGCCAAAATTATGTTGATTTCAATTTTGTTTATTTTACTGCCACTTGGGAGCTATGAGGAACAAAATACAGGAAAAAACATATCACAACGCATTCCAGAAAGACTGAAAATGATGGAAAATAAGTCTATGTCTTTGCTAAGTGAAGTAAATGCAAATTCAGATAATGTAAATAGAAATGCCTCCAATTCCAAGGCAAGTTATTCCACTCTTTTGGATCCAACCAAAACCTATGGAAAGATAGATTCCAGTGGTAATGTTTCAACAGACAACTTTTCTCAAGATCCAAGACCCATATCCGCATTTTCAACAATGCCACCCTTGATTCGTGGCTCTGTTTCTAAATTGAATTCATCTATAACTAATGAAAATCTTTTGCCAGTCTCAGCTCGTCCCAGTTTTACACATGCTGTATCATCAGAAAACACGAGTTGGTCTTTGGGCAATGACACCATGAACACCCCTGACAACAGTTCCTCTACAGTTAGCATCCTCCCTCCAGCATCAACTACCAGATCTGTGACCCCCATGGTAATGGGACCGACTGGATGGCTTACTACAACCAGTGAAAGCTTTGCTGCTTTCACACCCTACCAAGAAAACATAACTCCACAGCCCACCTTAAAATTCACCAATAATTCAAAACTTTTTTCAAATACGTCAGATCCTCAAAAAGGTAAATACAAATAGATTTAACTTTCCTTTAATGTGAAAATGAATCTTCAAAAATGTCATGTGCATTAGGTTGAAGGAATGTGCTGTGCTAGAAAAATAGAGGAGAATTAACTAGTAAAAGTGGTTCTTACCTATGGGGGCAACCATTATATACACTGGAAACAATGAAATGGTTTTAAGGATTAATTAAACATATGCTCATTATTATCATACGGGAAGGTAAAAAGATAATGGGTTTAAAATATTATTTAGACAGGCTTAACAGAAAAAAAAAACCTCTTCCACTTTTACTTTGGTACCTAATGAGCATCATGTAAATGAAATTAACGATGTCGCAAGAAAATTTATTATATGGAGGTTTATATGTTTMAATTAGAAATAATGTCAAGCTTTAAAACAAAATGGGAAAGATATCTAAGATTTATAATTGAATCACTATGCTTTATTTTATTCAGGTCTCACCTCATTTTTGCATGCTTGAAATTGTTTTATTTTTTAAAATATGTACTGTGTGTTCCATGAACTAATTGCCTTCTATTGCACTTACTTAGAGTCTATATTAATTATGGAAAACTAAATCATATATACAAATTGATATTTGAACATTATTGCCAGAAGACAGGGCATGTTTTAACTTCTGCAGTCTAGGTTTTATCACAATCAAATATGTAGGATATGTATAGGTACTTTCATTTTAATTGTAATTTTAACCTATCTTTTCATTTATACACACTCCTGTATTTTAATAGAGTGACTTTTTAAAATAATTTTCTTTTGTATATCCAAGCCAAATAGACCTACTCAGAATACTGAGTACTTACTCCTATCATTGTTCTTTTATTTAAAGAAAATGCTGTTTGCCTGCATCTCATGTTAGTGACTTAGTTTTACTGTACTCTAACATGAATGTTAATTTTTTTTCTTTGAAAGAGGGGTTTTATCTAGAATCAGAGAYCTGAACTTCTCAAGAAGTAAAAATGAAACACAGACTAAGTGTGAGCTCCAGGAGCACTAAGCAGTCCACTGAAGACTTCTTCAAATAAGGCACTCAGTAATACACACACAGAATGATATTTTGGGTTCCTTTGTACTCCCATCTTGACACACAAGGTTGAAAGCATGTTGCCTTGGGGACTTTGTTATATTCAGAAATATACTTTTTACCTGGGATTTTATGAATTTTTTTATTATTATTATTATTATTTGTATTGGGCATTTGAACATAGAGTCTCACCCATGCTAAGCAAGTSCTTGATCAAACAGGAACCATCCCAGGTTTTCTAAAAATTCTATTTTGAGACAGGGTCTCTCTAAGTGGCCCAGGAAGGCCTCCAACTTATGATCCTCCTGTCTGAGCCTCTTGAATAGCTGAAATTACAGGTATGCACCATACCTCTTGAATTATTTATAGAAAAAAATGCAAAGTTCATTTCAGCATTAAAGTCCATCAGAAATTTGGGGGTTATGGAAAGCCTAATGTAGTATTCAACAATGTGATGAGATCTTAATGATGAACATATGTGACATTTCTGTCCTGTTGATGTAATAAGTAACAAAACAGTTATAAATCTATAATTTAGGAGTGTTTAGTTATAGTTGAAAATTAGTAGTGTAGTTTTATCAATAAGTATATTTGCCAATCTGTCTCTCACACACACAACACACACACACACACACACACACACACACACACACACTGTCACCTTTATATAATTTAAAAAAATATGAATAATTCTTTGGTGTATAGAAAAACCACATATCCATTTCTGCTGTTTTGAATAATTATTTTCTTCTTCTTACCTGTAAATATTTTTCTGTTTTCTCTAGAAAATAAAAATACAGGAGTAGTATTTGGGGCCATTTTAGGGGCGATTCTTGGTGCTTCACTGCTTAGTCTTGTTGGCTACTTGTTGTGTGGAAAAAGGAAAATGGATTCATTTTCCCATCGGCGACTTTATGATGACAGAAATGAACCAGGTAAAAAAAAAACAACTTTCAGAATCTCACCTGAGACACAGTGGTTTTAATTAAGTAAGAACACATTGCTTAGAAGGGATGTGGAAGTTAATATGACCAAAATAGAGGAAAGATTTATTCTGATCCACCTTCTGTTTCTCAAAGAACAAAACCAAATTCATTTGGTAATTTGGCACTTTCCTTCTCCTCTCTCATAGTGAATTCCATCTTTATGCATATCTATCAAGCATCAATCAAAAATAAATAAATAAGTAAATAAGTGAGTGAAAGGAAGACCAGTAAAATAGAGGAAAGAGAATAACAGGATGGAAGAGGGGAGAGAAAGAGGAGGCACAGGGGACTGAAGTGGARTAAATTAAACCCCGTGCATGTAAAATTATGTCAAAATGAACCAAACTATTATGTGTAACTATAATGCACTAATAAAAGAAAAAAATTCAGGAAGAAAACCAAAGTAAGGGAAATTTAAAAACTATATTGAACTGTTGCTCATTKYRTAAAAGTGGGTTTTGAATAGTAATTCCAGAATCCAAATATATGTARAGTAGAAAAATAATGATAATGATATAAAGGAAAAAGGCCAGTTTTATTTATAAGTGATTTCAAAGCCCATTCTTTGCTATTGTAAGTTCTCTTAGTAGCAATAATTTGAAGAAAGATTGTTTAAACTTTTAGTTCTTCCAAAACTTACTCACATACAACAGCCCTCCATTAATCCTAATGAATTTCTAAAAGAGAGTAGCTCAAAGTTGCAAATTTCACATACATAAAGTCACAATATAACTTAATTCAGGAAATTTTTCAATCATAAAATAGAAAAGGGTATCATAATATCTATAAGTGAAAATATATGTACTAAAAATAAAACACTGAGCAAAATCTTAATAAAATACCAAAAAGAACAGACATGAAATCACTTTGTAAGTTTGACTCATCTCTCTTAATATACTTTAAGAAAAAAAAAAAAAAACTTGTCTTGTTTGCGCAAGAAATTTTTCCACCAATACTTGCCCCTGATGAGACCCATGGCTAAAGTCTCACTGAATTTTCATGAGTTCAATTCGTATCTAATATATCACTCATATTCAGACCCAAATACGTTAATTGTTAACATATCCAATTCCGTTTATGGGTTTCTAGTAATCCACAGAAAACAACATAAAAAAGGGAAAATTTCAAAGTTAAAGCTTAGGATTTCTAASCATCTTATTTTTATCTACTGAAGAACGATGCCTTATCTATGTCATGAAAGAATTCAAGATATCACATTAATGCCATCAAACAGGTGTGACTAATGTATAAAGAAATAACATAGTCAGACCACCAGATTAACCTCTTTGAGATAGCTTTAAGATACCTCTCTTAAAGACCTAAGGTTGTTGAGAGGCTAGTTTTTAAATGAATGACTTAAAGAATGGGTGGGTAAGCTTATGACAATACCTTAGAATAATTAAATTACTAATCTATTTTGTAATTATGTTGCTTTAATTCAAGCTGAATTTAAGACCTTTAGTACACGCCTAGTTATTCTTTGAYAATGAATTCTAGATCAATAGAAAATAATTGACTTGTTTAAAAAAAAAAAAAACTCCTGGATTGGATCATCTGTCAGAAATCCTAAATGCATGATGACTTGAATATATCAGAAAGAAATACAAGCTTTCACAAATAGTTTTCTTGATTCTTCACTTTAAATGGCTTGAGCATCAAATGTTGAGATAATTGGTGAAATTATGGCAATTAACTTTTAATGCCATCACTTTAAAAAATAGTTTTTATATCAGAAGTCAAAAAATCTGGACTCATTGACAAGGCTTGGAACATTCAATAATGTGCATGCTTATGTTTAATCATACAAGGTATTGGTGCACATTTTAGTGATCTCTTCCTWAGTTCCTTTATTTTGGGTGTACCAGCAGAACAATTTTGAAARTAAAACTGTTTTCTTAGTCATAAAAAAATGAATGTAGCATGAAAAATATCTATTTAATATTTAAAAAGTAGTATCTGAAAAGCCCACATCAGAGAGGTACCTATTCACTCAACCAGAACAATTCCTACAATCTGATAATGTAGTCAAATGCCTGAGCATGATTTTGTTTTAGACTGTTGGCATAAAACAATTTTATTTTTTTATTTGTTTATTTATTTATTTATTTATTTATTTATTTATTTATTTATTTATTTTTAGTTCTGCGATTAGACAATGCAACAGAACCTTATGATGTGAGTTTTGGAAATTCTAGTTACTATAATCCAACTGTGAATGATTCATCTGTGCCAGAAAGTCGAGAAAATGCACGTGATGGCATTCCCATGGATGACATTCCTCCACTCCGTACCTCAGTATGAAACTAAGACATAAAGTTGTCAGAGAGCAAGTGCTCATCTACAGCGTGGCCTTCTAAGAGACTCATCTTCCAAGAGGTTGTGCAAGATCACTGTCCCGTGGACTGTGCAGGAAGAACTATAAAAGCATGGGACTAGTAGCAGAAACACTGAGGGAATAAAACATCAAAAAGGTTTTCTTTCCTACAACATTTTGTTGGACTGACGCCATCTATTACATAACTATCATTTATATTTTGTCCATTTTTTCCTTAGTAGGAAGTATCTGTAGAATCAAACTAAACAATATCACTCCTTGATAGTACTCCTTGATAATTTAATAATAAAAAACCTTCAACAAAAATTGGAAACCAAAACTATATTTTCACTTTTTATTTTTTTTAACAAACACCAATGGAGTTGACTCTTTATTGTTCCACAGGCAACTGTAGAGCTCTAAATCAGGATTAATATTTTTTTCAAAGAATATCGAGAATAAATATATGTATTTAATTTCATCTTAGAGTGAGAAAAAGGATATAGCTTGCAGTGTCCCCTCACCCCCCACTGCAGGGTATAAAAGCAGTAACACTAAAAGATGTGGTCTGCTACATTCTACTTCTCTGCATGAGCATGAGCAAAGTCAGTTTCTGGAACTGCTACCTTGACAATGAGCATTGAGAAGGCCCCTGGTAGGAAAAAGGATCTGAACCAGGAAMGTGACAGTTCTTCTAAATTTGTCAATGTTTGGGACATTCTTTAGATTTCAATTAATGGGGTGACTTAAAAACTCAATGAGGAATATGGTGAAAAAAAGATAGCCAAAGAATATATGTGCATATGATTTATACAGTTTTTTGAGTTGTTAGGCAGGTGAAGGGTTTATTATATATTATACCTTATTGTTTAATCACGTATGGAGTAGAGTCTGCATCTCTAAATGTATGAAGCATAAGGTAAAGAAAAAAAAGATGAATGGGAATATTAAGCAAACATAAGCTTCCAGAACATCACTTTCACAAGTAATATTACCAGGAAGTTAATTTTTTTTCTAGTTTGTTTCAGTTTATTTTAAATTATCATCTGCTTTTGGCAAGAGAAAGTATATCCTTTGATGTAGAAAAGACTAGTCTTTAGGGAATAGAGGGTTAGATCAAGAGTTAAATTCCCAAAGAAAAAGTTAATGTATGAAGAGAACAAACAAAGCATGTACCAGCCTACACTATTGTTGAATTGATACATGGTGTCCGTGTGTGTGTGTGTGTGTGTGTGCATGTGTGTAGAAATAAAGCAATAGTCTTAGAAAATAAAACTGGAACATAGGTAATGAAAACATATACTTACCCCATATTGCCATAAATATAGCAAAGAAGACTGTCCCTCCATTATCAAACAAATATGTCACCTTAATGGAAAAAAAAACCCAAAAATATTAATCATACTACTGATCATAATAATCTGGTGACTACTATTTGAATGCAGGCAATATGATTTTTTCCCAAATAAAATCACAGTATTTTTCACAGTTTGTGAATGTATTATAAAAGAGCCTTTCATGGGTTCTGCAAGAGTTTTATGTAATTTTCTCATGGGAAGAAGTGAGAGAGCAACGTTTTCCTTTTTTCTTCTCTTSTTTCTTAGAACACGACCTGCTCTTCTGGTTAGAAGCATTTCTAGCACCACGAGGAAGCATCTGTGGGATACAGATAGTCAAACTACCATGTGAGATGTAAGAACTTAGCTTTTCAGGTAACCTAGATGCACTTCCTATTAGCACAACTTCCMCAAATGGGGAAGCTGCCAATTGCAGAATTATGCCAGTGAGCTAACACTTCCAATAGAAAGGCATCATGGTAGTATCACTCTCATGCTTTCAGAACATGCCCTGCTAGCAGAAGCTTTTAAGATGTCATAAATCTACTCTGAGGCTGTTTTAAGAAGTTTCCATGGATCATCAAACAGTTATGATAGAGTTGAATGTTTTTCAATCAGATATCACCTGAAGTTGGGTAAAGAACAAGGTACAGTTATGTGATGTCATTGAATACAACATAATCCTTGAAGTTGTAAGAACTGTTTGATTTAATAAAATTCAAATTTAAAATATTCAATTTACCTTGTTTTTGCTTGTATAATATGATCACTATATTTATAAACTGGTGTGTGAGGTTAAATTAATATAGCCAAAGACATAAATGCTTTTCATACACATAACTCTTGTAGTAGCTACAACAGTTCTGCCTTATCTGTGCGGATTATTCCAAGTCCCTCAGTCGATGCCTGAAACTAATGATAGTACCAAACACTGTGTGTACTGTTTTTCCTAAACATACATAACTATGATAAAGCTTAATATATAAATTAGGCACTTTATGAGATTAGTAACAGAAAAAAGAATATCATGATATAGAAAAGTTATGTGAATGTGGCTTCTCTCTCAATATATGTTATTTAATTATTCTGCTTATTGTGGTGATATGATACAATGTCTACATGTTCAGATGAAGTGAGGTGGATAATTTTAGGCTACGATGTTAGTTACTTGAACATAAGTCCATGATACCATGACTGTTGATCTGGTAACTGAGATGGCTACTAAATAATTAATTTTTTTTTTTTTTAAAGAGAGAGTGAGAGAGGAGAGAGAGAGAGAGAGAATTTTTAATATTTATTTTTTAGTTCTCGGCGGACACAACATCTTTGTTGGTATGTGGTGCTGAGGATCGAACCCGGGTCGCACGCATACAAGGCGAGCGCGCTACCGCTCGAGCCACATCCCCAGCCCCCTAAATAATTAATTGGTGAGTAGCATATGCTACATTGGATAGATGAATAGAGGGATGATTCACATCCTATGAAGGACAGAGTGGGACTGGAAAAGGTTTCATCATACTCAAAATGGCATGCAATTTAAAACTTATGAATTGTTCATTGCTGACATTTTCTGTTTAGTATTTTCAGAGCACAGCAGTCCAGAGTAAATGAACTTATGTAAAGTGAAACTGTAGGTAAAGGGGTGGCCATTGTATAGAGAAAACATGAGTTTTGTCTTCAAGACAGTATGAGGCCAATTTGGGGTTTAAATTATTTCAAGGCAAACCTGATTAGAACTCTTTGCTCAGTTTAAAGTCCAGAAGGTGCTCAATGAGACATTAAAAAAACTAATGTATATTTTAATTATAACCTCTGGAACACACTGCAAAACAATATGCAAAACAGGTAAATGCAAGATGTATTTTTCTATAATGTAACATTATTAAAAATGCATCATAAAAAGATGTGTTCCTTTTAAAGGTTTGTAGATAGGTGCAAAATACTCTGCATGTCTCTAAAATTCTGAGAGTTAAGACTTGGAATTTCTAAAAATATTCTAAGGGTTGGTTTTTTAAAAAAAATTTAGCATACATTATGTACAGTAGAGAAAAGGATCATAAAAGATTCTCCTACAGAGCTTATAAAATTACACCCAGCAGGGGAATCCAGCTCTTTTTTTGTTTCCAGAAGCATCCCACAGAGACACCTGAGGCTTCTGAGCAGCTGAACAGCTGTCTATTTTCTCTTATAAACAGACTGAGTACAGGAAACAGCCTCTTAGAAAGTTAGAACAGAGGCTTTACATATAGGCACTTAAAGGTCACTAAAAATAGCAGCTCTTTCCTGCTTCAGAATAGAAAGCCACAGTTAATAACAATTGTGTTGTATGGACATGATTTGTTATAGCTTATGAAGTGTTTATTTTAGAACAATTTTTTTCTTGCTAGGTTAACTAATAAATATTTCAAACATTATTTAATGAATTTAAACWTTAACCTTTAGAAACATGTGCATCTAATACAGTGGGTATACAAACAATATTCATATGATGGTTACATACATGTAATGGGAAATGAAGCTAGAATGGGAATGGGGGAAAACTTAAAACTGCTCTCAGGAGAAGCATGACAGTTTAAAATCATTGTTAGGTTTATCAACCTATTACTTATGGAATACTTTATGATTTAGGAGACCACAGAGACAAGAAGGGCAATTAGAAAGCTCTGATCATAGCTTGAGTTGCTAAGTGCTTCATTTCGGATGCTGATAAAAGAGCTGCTGAATGAAAATGGCGGAGGGGAAAAGAGAAGAGTCAAATACACCAGAGATCACTCAAAGGCAGGTAACTGGCAGGAGAGTGAAGGGAGAAGGGGCATCACTGAAGCCCATGAGAGCAAGAATAAGAATCTCCTGGGCAGTGTTAACCCTGGAGATCAAGGAGATGCCCAGGGCCTGGAGGGCAGAGATCAAGTCTGGAATTCAGCTTGCTCACTTCCTCAGTCCTCAACTCTCAGGCTGTACAAAATCTGCTTCATCTATGTTGACGGGAGCTGGACACTAGTTCCATCAGACATGGAAGCTTGAACAGTCCATCCCTCTAATAGCATTGAAAACTGTGGTCCTCACAATCAGAACCATCAACAGGCTTGTTAAAAAGTAGGTTTCTAGGCCTCAGCCTTGAATAACTGACTCTAAATATCAGGATGTAAGGCCCAGAAATCTCATTTATAATAAATGTTCAGGTGGCTCTGGTATATGATCTTACACAGACTCTTCCACGAAGTCTCTTAAAGAAACACCTTTTCACCTGTTTCTCTTGTAGTGTTAACATCAGTGAACAACCTGAGTCTCATTAGATATTGAATAAGTCTTTGTTAAACAAGTAAAAATGAAACTAGAAAATAACTATTAGGTATAATACTAACTCCAAAGGCTGAGACATTTTTAGAATTATACAAGCAAATATTTAATATGTTCTATTTAATTATTTCACTATAATGAGAAATCCTAGCACCATGTCATTTGATAGTGCATTACCCATACTTCTATGAATGTATGCATATTAAAGTTACTTAAATGGCAAAGATTTTAGTTCACATACTCTAAGTATTAAAAATAAAAAGCCATCAAAAATGTTAATGTACTTAATTGTGAATTCTGTTATATGGTAGGACCAATTTTTTTTTTCATGCAAAATTATTCCTTGAATCCTAAGGGAATGTGCACACATGTGCTTTTCATAAAAATGTGGCAATGTGATTCCCTATTAGGTGATACGAGTAGTGATATGTTCCATAAGAAACTGAATTTACAAGTTCCTAAATCATGTGGTTAGGCCATCATGTGGCTACATAAACCTAGACTGGCTGGCTTGTTTCTKTAGTAAAACTCTGCTCCCTTATCTTTGACTTTGCCCATTAAGTAAATTCTAGTATAGCAGTKTATATATCCAAGTATATACAATGATATAAAAATGTTTATTTTCATCCAATGAAAGAATAATTTCCATTTTTAAGTTTTTATCAGTACATTATACCTATAATGTACTGATAAAATTATGTAATAATTATGTATAACTATTATACATAATAGCGGTGTGYATTTTGACATAATCATACATACATGGAGTATAATTTGCTCCACTTCATCCCCTAGTACTGCTGCCCCTTTTCCTCCTTCCTCCCTCTCTCTGTTACTTTCCTCTACTGGTCTTCCCTCTATTTATAGTTTCTTTAAATTAGTGGTCTGCACATACATATAACAGTGAAATTCACTTGGTTTATTCATACACGTACATAGCATAATTCGGTCAGTTTCAYCCTGCRGTTCCTCCCTTTTCCTGTCCCTCTTCCCTCTCTTTCAATCCCCTTCCTCCCAACTTATGTCTCRTCTATATTGATGGTATTCCCTCCCTACAACTCTTTTTTTAAAAATTTTCTACATATGAGAGAAAACATTCAAGCCTTAGTTTTATGAGTCTGGCTTATTTCACTTAGCTTGTTGTTCTTCCATCTAATGCCATGATTTCTTTCTTTTTTATGGCTAAGTAAAACTCCATTTTTTTGTATGTGTGTGTGTGTGTGTGTAAATGTGTGTGTGTATGTGTGTCTGTGTGTGTATGGGCACTTCTTATTCTTGTTCTAGTATGTATGAATGTGTGTGTGTGTGTGTGTGTGTGTGTGAAATACATTTTTTTCATCCATTGATCAGTTGATGGGCATTTGGCCTGGTTTCATAACTTGGCAATCATGAATTTCACTGCCATAAACATTGATGTGACTTTACCGTTATAGTATGCTGATTTTAGTCCTTTGTGGTAAATACCAAGGAATGATAAAGCTGGGTAATGTGATGATTCAATTCTTACTCTTTTGAGGAATATTCCTACTGCTTTCCAGAATGGTTGTGCTAACATTTGCAGTCCCACCAACATTGTATAAGTGCACCCTTTTCCCCATATCCTCACCACCATTTATTATTATTGTATTCTTGATGATTGCCATTCTAACTGTGGTGAGATGAAATATCAATGTAGTTTTCATTTACATTTCCCTGATGGATAGACATGCTGAATACCTTTTCACATATTTGTTGGCCATTTGATCTTCTTATTTTGAGAAGTGTATGTTGAGATTTTTTTTTTTTGCCTGTCTGGTTTTAAAGTTTAAACCAAATAGCTATATTTTATCTTCCTCAGAAAAACAAATACAAGATGTATTCAGTATTTCATTCAGGTGGGTTTTATTTCCTGTATGGTTGCAATAAGGCGATATTCTCCTCTGCAAGTTAACTTTCATCTTCATTTGAAGTTTATAAGTGAATTCTTTCCAAGTCTTGCCTATCCTTGTGCACACTCCTTTCTATTCAGAAAAGAAGGAGTATTTACTGTACAATAGCACCTAGATTTAGTATCTCCTTGGGTAGATGCCTCACTTTATCACTCTGCCATATGTGAATGTCTCATGTCTTTACTGTTCACATCACTCCAGTGTGTTCTATAGCCTATCTCAGATATTTTATCATAGCTATAGAAAACAGACTAATGCAAAGGTTGAATATATACTATCATGTGATTCAACTATCCCACTCCTAGATATCTACCCAAAAGAAATAATAACATTTGTCTGCAGGAATACTTGAAGATAAATCTTTATAGCAGCTTTACTTAAAAAAGGAAACAACTTGAAACAAMCCAAAAGTTCATTAGTAGGTAAATGAACAAACAAACTCTGATATAGATACAATGGAATAATATTCAGCAATAAAAAGGAATAACCTATTGATGAATACTACAACATGGATGAATATCAAAATAAGTATGTTCTGCCAAAGAAGTCAGAAAAGTTACATACCATATGATTCTAAGAGTCTAGGAAATATAAAGGTATTTATAATGACACAAAGGTGTTGGTTGCAGAAGCACTGGCATAGGTTCAGGGAGGAATGTGGGACACAGATTACAGTGAGGATACTGTGAGGAAACTTTGAAGGTGATATATTCATTATCCTGATTGTGGTGTATTTTTTTTTGACCTGCATTTCACAGGTACATATACATCGTCAACTTCCATACTTCAAATATATACATTTTACTTCGTTGATTACACTTTAATACAACTGTTGTAGATATAAAAAATAATTGTAAAAGCCAATGTTTTTAAAATTTGTATGAACATTATTATAACTGGGGAAATCCTAGAAAATGATGATATCTGGGTTTTAAATCCAAAGATTTGTTTTAATTGCTGAGGTCTATGGGTTTTTGAAGTATTTTTAAAATCCTTCAGGTGATTCTAATAGACAGCAGTTTGGAAATTTKGGATGTGCTATTTCATTTTAAGTATTTTATCTTCATGAGTTTTTGTGGAAGAATCAAATTTAATCATCAGCAATAAAAATAACTGTTCTTCTCCTACAAGATCTAAACATAATTTCAAGGGGAAATTTGTGTCTGTGGGGGAAACTATTGGCTATAAAGACAAAGGAATACAAAGATACTCAACTCAAGGTCTACTCTTTGGAATTTCAGCAGATTGACTTTGTTTCAGGTATCAAAGGCTATTAGAATGCTTGGGAATAGTAAATTGGGTTAAAAAAATAGGATCCTCTACTTAGACAAAGCAAGACTCAGGAGAGGATGTGAAGATCCACACTCACCTTGGCATAGATGCAGCTTTCRTTGAGTCTCTGCAAGGAACAGTTCTTATCACACAGAGGGCACATGAAGACTTCGGTGGCTTTACAAATCTCCTGGCTTGAGAAATCAAAGAAAATAAAAACATGAAAGTCACTCAGCTCTTGCAGCAAACTCTGGTGGTGAGGCYGAGAAATAGAAATAGTACAGAGTGGGGAGCAGGAGAAGAAGCAGTTATGGTTTCAACTTACGGATGAGGATATTTGTGATATAGTATTTTCTTGTTCACTTCTTCGTTCTCTGTTGCTATATTGTGATGATAATGGGTCATGGTTTGCATTTATGTGACACTTATGGGGCTTTTTATTACTATAAAGGCACTTTGATATATGATCTTGTGGCATTCAGGATAATCTTGTATACAGGTGAGTTTTAACCAAGTTCACAGGTTGGAAGTRGATAAGCTGGAATGAAACCTAACTAGTCTGACTTCGCAAGCCCAGGGTTCATACAATTTATAGCACACACTGCAGTGCATATCATTGGTGCAGAATATTCAGCGGAAATTGAAGGAGTTGATCTTTTTGAACATGGCACCTTGACATACACAGTAATGGCGATATGACGTAGATTCTACTACTTAAATATATGCTCAACTAGAATGTAACTTTATGACATTTATCTCACCAGCTTTATGCCCACTATCTTTTTAAAACCTCAGCATACATTATAGATGGCTTTGTGACAGCAGGGAATCAATAACAGTTTCTGAAAAGCCTTACAGACTTAAGAGCTCAAAAAAACCTATTTTGAGGACAATACGTGTCTTTATCTGTCATACATGACCCTTTCTAATTTTTTATCTCCCAGTAAATTTTATTAAATAAATCTACCCTGGAGAGTTTGTAAGAAGCTTAAAGACTTTAGAAAATATGTCTGTTAATGCAATTGTTAACACAAGTTTAATTGGCAATGTTTGTAGCAAGATTTGATGTTTTAAAAAGTATATATATATATATATATATATAAAAGAAAAAAAAAAGAAGAATGTGTGTGAATTTCAGTGCGGGATATACAGAACTTCAAGCCAAATAAGAATACAAGATAAGTACACCAGACAGTGGTATAATACTTTATAGTGGAAAAAGGTAGACTTAGGTCTGCTACATTGCCTAGTCCTCACCCACATCACAGGTAATGGTAATTATGTCCTCTAAGGAGAAGACACCAAGGCTCAATTTAAAAGACTTGCTCAAGTTACAGAGCTAGCAAAAGGCAATCTGAGGAGCTGACTTCAGGCCTTTTTTTTTTCTTTTTTAGTTATAGATCAATCCAGTTTTCAATCGACTTTAACATATATAAAAAGAAATACATTCGTTTTATGTTAAAATTAATTTTTCTATCCATAATTTACTAATGGTGATGACAGAATCAATTTTATATATACTACTCTTAATTTTACACCTCCTATCATATTAGTAATCAGATGTCTGTAGAAAGGAAACATATAAACCATGCATTTTAAAAACCTAAARGAAAGAGAAGATTGTATCTCCTTGTACAAAATTACTAAATTTTAAGAATGAGAAGAATCAACATTTCTTGAAGTAATTTTCAGTAAAATGTGCTTATTATCATAATTTATCTTGTTACACAAATGCCACCATTTGTCTTGCATTGGAATCCCATCAGAATAGGTATTCAAATTGGTTTATACTACGTCATCTTGTCCACTTTCCTTACTTTTTAGACTAAAATAAGGGATTTGGGCCTATCCCAATTTGTTTGATTTTATGTAACCACTAGAGGGAGGGACAGGTCCCTATCATGAGTGGTTTTTAGCTTSTTTTGCAGGGCTTGACACACCACCACTGGAGTTGTGGCTTACTTTGGTTTTAGATTTGTTGCTGTATATGAATCTATCAATAGCTGATCCCAAAGAATAATTACTACCTTTAAGATAGTGAAATCAAGGAGCAATATGTCTAATCGGGGGTGAATATTGGGACCCACACTCTCCAGGAGCCTGATGCTTCCTGTGACTCAGCTAATATGACAAAGTACAGAAAAGGAAATTTCTGCTCGATTTGTACATTTTTGGAAAAAGAGTATAAAAATAGGTATGAGGAAGAAGAGTGTGGCAGCATGGATAAAGCATTGACTTTAAAGTCAAATATAATCATCACGGAAATCCAAGTTAAACCACAGTGAGTTTACCTTAATCCTACTAGAATTGTTCTTATATTTATTCTTTTTTTTTTTTTTTGGAGGTTGCTTGCTGGGAATCAAATGTAGACTTTTGTGCATGCTGGGCAAGCAGTGTACCACTGAGCTACACCTCCTGCCTAGATTGCTATTAAATTTTTTTAATTACACRAAAAATAAATGTTGGTAAGGATGTGGAGAAACTGAATCCCTTGTACACTGTAGGAATCTAAAAGGATGCACTGCTATGGAGGCAGTGTTGATGTCCCTCAGAAGGTTAAAAACAGAGTTACATATGATCCATCCTTCCCACTTCTAGAAATATTTACAAAAGAAATGAATTCAGGATTTTGAAGAGCTATGGTGATCCCATATTCATTACAGCACTATTAAAAATTCCAAAGAGATAGAAATAAACCTAATTTATATTATTTCATCAGTGGATAAAGAAAATATGGCATATAAGTACAGTGGAATATTATTTAGCTGTATAAAAAGAAAGGAAATTCTGTCTTATAGGACAAAATGGATCAACCTTGAGGACATAATGCTAAGTGAAATGAACCACTCACAGAAGGAAACACACTGCATGATGCCACTTACATGGGGCATCTAAAAGAGTCAAACATGCAAAAAGGAAGAGTATATTTGTGATTTGCCAGGGGTGTTGGGGGGAAAGGAGGAGGGAGCCTGTGCTCAATGGGTATAAAATTTCAGTTACACAGGGTGAGTAAGTTTTAGATATCTTCTGTACAACATTGCACATAAACTGCCTTGTGTGGTTAAAATTTTGTTAAGAGAGTAGATTTCACATTAAATGTTCTCACCATGTTGTTTTAAGTATCAGTCATAGGCTTGAAACTTAACTGCGCCCTTCATGGACATATTTCCCTGACCAAATCACCTAYTTCCCTGAGGTGCATTTGTCTCCACACAAGGCTAGTATCTGACTGGGAGACTAGTTATAGGATTTTGATATTCTACCTGGCWTATCCCAGGTGGTTCTTAAAAGGAAGAACCCCTTATTGCTAAGGTTAACCCCTTAAGGCTAAGGTTAGCCTCAGCAGAGGGCTTGAGGATTTCTTTMGGAAGCAAAAGCTTTCGTAAGACTGGTAAATGCTGAGGGCCACATAAGTTTTTAGATAAATTCTGATGCTAACGAAGCAGGAATGGACTAGAAAATTGGGATTTCTACTCTCTGACCTGTCCTGAAACTCAGGTCCCTAAGATGCATATCACAGGTACCTGCTTGTTGACTCTTAAAATCCTGTAAAATATTCTCACCCGGGCATAAAAATGAATATATTTGGCTTTGTAAAGCAAGTGTGCACATGTATGGATACATACAGCRATCGAAAACTGATTGTGATGTGCTCCCACAAATAACTACAGGGCAATTAAGAAATATAACTTTAATTTAGTTGTCATATCTGGTAGGATCATAATAAGTAGTCCCACACCTGCAGCTTTTCAACATTTTGCTACCCTGAACTAAAGAGAAGGAGAGAGAGAGAGAGAGAGAGAGAGAGAGAGAGAGAGAGAGCGAAAGCGAGCAAGCTTCATAAAATAATATGAACATGAATCAACACAAAATAAAACCTAGCCCCCTCCCCACCCCCACCATGAAAACACCTACGACTCAACCACGTCAAGATATTCAGTGCTGCGTATCTTGGTTGAGAATAGAAAGTCTGACAGGATCTTAATTATAGTGTGACAGGAGTAGCAGTAATATAATACCATAGAGTGCAGAATAAAAGATTTTCTAGCACCTTTTAAAACACTTCTTGTATCAAAGGTTAAGGCATACTTATTTCATACAAAAGAAGCCTAATTTACTCCTTTGGTACATAAATCAATAGGAACACTCAATCTATTCCTTTCATTCCTTTGGTTCATTTTCAGCTTCCTGGGGGTGGAAGGAAAAGTCTATATTTCATGGCAAAACTTTGTGGATATGTTCTACGGGAACCAACTGGAGCAGCAGCRAGGGAAGAGTCTTCTTCCATGTTTGTTAATTCACTGTAAAAGAGGGCTTTACCTTTTCAGATAATGTAACTCACACTATCTCCCCTGAGTCTCATCAGCACTCAGGGAAAAGCCCAATAGGGGAAGAGTGAAGGGGGATATTCACAGAGGGCAGAAGCTTGTTCTTGAACATGCCACTTTCCACAGGGAGAATGATTTACAAAACTCTGAAGCTCATGAGCAGAAGTTATCTCTTTGTTTGCATGCTTATTATCACGTGGCTTCATAAAGAACAAAAAGGGGACTCTGGGACATCAAATCAAGTAACTTGGTTACTGAACAGGATTCAACTCTAGGACAAGAAAGAGAACTTGTTTTTAGGCAATATGGTTCCACATAGGCAAATACAAACATGTGCATATCACATTTTTTAAAGGGAATTCAGGGAAACTAAGTTTTAGGATCTTCTGAAGAATGTCACACTAACAGCTGTCCTGATTACTGCAGGGTAGGAAGGCTATGGTTGAAATACGCACCGAAGAGAAGAACAAAGTGTTGAACTTTAAAAGAGAGGGGAGAGCTTCTTTATGTTTTAATATAAAGTTGAATTTGATAATATCCTTGTGAAATATATTAAACGGAACACGCTGCCAAGAGGACTCTTTAATCCTAAGGTGACTCCTGTCTCTGGTGAGTAATAATTTAGTATTTCTAGGAATAATGTATTCCTATTTCTAAATCTTGAGTCACTGCAGATTGAACAAAAGAATCACCTTTCTGATGTTATGTTTCACTTCTATCAAATCCTGTTTTGCTACTATTTTTAGAATGGTATGTGGGATATACTTGAAAGTGAAATCTGGCATCAAGATTAGCAGTCTTGGAACTTATCTAAGAGAAATTTATTTAAAAAGCATATCAAAATGATCTTTTTATCATGCTTTTCTCCTATTAAAAAAAACTGGCATGGTGGCACATTCTGGTTAATACCAACTGCTTGGGAGACTGAGGCAAGAGGATTATAAGCTGAGGCCAGCCTGGCAACTTAACTGTAAGCCTGACTCAAATAACAAATAAAAATAGCTGGGGATGTGTAGCTCAGTGGTTGATTATCCTTGGCTTGCAGGTGAAAGGCTCTGGGCTTAATCCCCAGTACTGAGAAAACAAATACTCAATAGAAACAGACAAACAAGCAAACTACATATATATATATATATATATATATATATATATATATATATATATAGAGAGAGAGAGAGAGAGAGAGAGAGAGAGAG